TAATAATGATGACTAAATTGTCCAAATTTATCATTCGTTTGATTGGAAAAGAATAGTTAAAGTACAATTTTATTAAACTGTTGGATTGGAGCTGAAATTGAGATTATGTGAAAATATATTTAAAGATATGATCTCTATTTTCTCCCTCTCTTCTGTGTTTATCTGTAGGTGTCAGACAGCCCGCTGGACTCCCACAGCAATGGCTTTTATCGCTCTCAGCTGTCACTCAGACAAACCAATTTCAAATCCAGCGACTCCGGAGCATTTTCTATCGAACACTGCTGAAATCAAGAGGACAAAACACTGAGTTTTGAGGCGTTTTCCTGTTTGGCTCGTTGACGCTTCCTGTAGCAATACGACCAAATCCGTCTCTTTATTGTCTTTATACATGACAAAATACAGACACCATGGCTCTTGCCCAATGGAGGAAGGGACCACAACAGGAGCCATGAATTGGATTGTAATAAATGCATGGGAAGATTGTATAAAATCATGAATCATTTTGCATGGTGGCGTTTTTTGTTGTTTTCTGAGCTGTGTATTTAATTAAAAATTAAACCAGCTTGCTTATTGCACTACCCATATCTGTTACTCTCTTTACTATGGACGGTTAAGCTGAACAATTTGGTAGATTTTGCGTGTAATGATAAATGATAAAGAAAACTGGGTGTTCCCAAACCGGTCCGCTGGAGAAGTCTGTCATCAAAATGGCCGACTGTCTTGGATGGGTGAAGTTGGACGTCCAAAAGGCCCTGCAGCGATATGTACTTGGTCCGCTGAGCTCATCATCTGTCCAAAAACCACCCACACTCAAGATCATTGATGTAGCCATTTAGAAAAATCAACTCAACTATTGAAACCATAGAGCTCTCAGTTTCAGACGTAGAGGCTGTAAAGCTTCTCTTAAAAACAACAGAACATCTAATAAAAGCTGTCAAATGAACAGCATCCTTTAAAAAAACTGAAAACTGGCTCATTGATGGACAGTTTGCACACTTTTGAAAAATGATTCCAGGTGGTTGTCTGTGTGGTTGTCCATATAACAATTATATTTGTCAATGTTTAGAAATGTGACCACTTACAACAGAGAAAATGTACTACATTTCTTTTCTGATCATTATTCTTTATACAATATAGAGTCTATTGTAGCGATCTGGATTAAAACCTTAATCAATTATGGTCAATTCAGATATATCTGCATTTCCTATAATCATACTTACAATAACAAGAAGGAAAACAAGATCAATTTCACTTTCTGAGTGAAAGACCTTTAATATTGAGCCCATTCTTGTATGTCAGATTAAATATCCTAAAAAATAATCTTGTATTACAAATATCTTCATTTTCAGATTGAAAAGGATAGTTCAATTTTCTATGTTAAATCGTTTTCCCCAGAGACCTCAAAGAAAGGTTCACCCCTTGCCAGTGTGCATTTAAAAGCTCTCAAATATAAAGTTCCTAATTTAAACGTTACAAATGCATAAGAAATATATACACACAAACAATTAAACATCCATCAAAGTACACTTTTCTTTTCCTACTGAATCGAGTTCTGTTACTCTTATGGGGTGGATTTATTGTGGTCTTCAGAAATGTGCTGGGTAACAGTAAGAACGATCCCGGTTGGACTAAAACGGATTAATGGATCATCATTTTTACGGAAGTGGGACATTAGACTTTGGCCGGGGAGGGCTGTGGGTTTCTGCCATCTGACGACGTGGTTGAAGACAGAGGCGGGCTCCTTAGAATTACACTTTTCAGCAGAGCGCCGCCCACCGACCCACGGCTGGAACCACGAATGGCGCAAACGTGAGACGTTTGGGGGCCAAACGCTGCGTTGTCCGGCTTAGATTGAGCAGATCTCTTCAAAACATTGTTCAGTTCTGCTCTAAAGTGTAAATGTGCAGAAAACATCTAAAACCTGCAGAACAGCAACCCAGAAATATCCAGATTTAATTGTTTTCTTTCTCTAAAAAACGCACAATACAAACAGTCCTGATCCTTAAACCACGTTCTCATGCAAAAATAAATCTATTATCTATCCTACCTTCACCTTAGAGCAAATCAAGTCTTATAAAAGCCTAACTTTGGTGGCCAAACTAGTGCAAATAACATTTGAATTAAATTAAACGAATCAAGGAACCAGAGCTCGTTGTGGGAAGTGTGTGGCTCTTAAAAGAGCCGTTTGGGTGTCCATTAGACCGTTTTTACTTGGACTTGGCGGGCTTCTCGGTCTTCTTGGGCAGCAGCACGGCCTGGATGTTGGGCAGCACGCCGCCCTGGGCGATGGTGACCCCCCCCAGCAGCTTGTTGAGCTCCTCGTCGTTGCGCACGGCCAGCTGCAGGTGGCGCGGGATGATCCTGGTCTTCTTGTTGTCGCGGGCCGCGTTGCCGGCCAGCTCCAGGATCTCGGCGGTCAGGTACTCCAGGACGGCCGCCAGGTACACGGGGGCGCCGGCGCCCACGCGCTGCGCGTAGTTTCCTTTACGCAGCAGCCTGTGCACGCGGCCCACGGGGAACTGGAGCCCCGCACGGGAGGAGCGGGTCTTGGCCTTGGCTCTGGCCTTTCCTCCGGTTTTGCCTCTTCCGCTCATGTTTCTGGTCTCTGTACTTGAGTTAGAACTCAGAGAAAATGTATCAGGGATCGTTCACTCCCTTCTTTATATGTCTGAGAGCGCGGGACGGATCCGGAAGGACCAACCAACCAGGAAACAGGCTTCCAGGCGAGCAGCGGTGGGGGCGCACAGCTTTGAATTTACGCGCAAACTTTGAGAAGGGGCTCTCCTCCAATGCGCATTGCTCCTTCGGGCGGGATCTGGGCTCCTCTAGGCGGAGCTGGGCTATTCTAGGCGGGGCCCGGCTGCAGGAGGAGCAGCTGGAGGAGCCGCTCTCCAATCAGGAGCCCGGAGTTCCGACGCTGCGTCACGGCTCCGCCGGATTTAAAGCCGGGACGTCCCCTTGCAACGGTCATATCCACTTTTTAGGGAGAAAGTAGAAGCAACAGACAATGGCCAGGACCAAGCAGACCGCCCGTAAGTCCACCGGAGGCAAGGCCCCCAGGAAGCAGCTGGCCACCAAGGCCGCCCGCAAGAGCGCGCCGGCCACCGGCGGCGTGAAGAAGCCTCACCGTTACAGGCCCGGAACCGTGGCCCTGAGGGAGATCCGCCGCTACCAGAAGTCCACCGAGCTGCTCATCCGCAAGCTGCCCTTCCAGCGGCTGGTCAGGGAGATCGCGCAGGACTTCAAGACCGACCTGCGCTTCCAGAGCTCCGCCGTCATGGCCCTGCAGGAGGCCAGCGAGGCCTACCTCGTGGGGCTGTTCGAGGACACCAACCTGTGCGCCATCCACGCCAAGAGGGTCACCATCATGCCCAAAGACATCCAGCTGGCCCGCCGCATCCGCGGTGAGAGGGCTTAAGCCTTCCGGGCTGCGCAAGCGCAAAAAAAAAGGCTCTTTTAAGAGCCACCGAACCCTATTTAAGAGCTCCTCCTAAAAGTTATTTACTAAACCATGTATTTAAAAAAGGGAGACGTGCAGACTGAGTTCCACTTAAAGCATTTATTGGAACATTTCCAAATAGCATGTTATTGTGAGGATGAAGCACATTTACTATAAAAGGTGTTGTTTATTTTACTAACTAAACTAAAAGCCGGTCTAGTGATCCTGGATTTAAATCCACAAAATGAAGGTTCTCATGTCCCATTTCATCCTAATGTAGCAGTTATGAGTCTCCTACAATGAGCAGCCACACATGGCCCATTTATGAGGGAAACTAGATGTTAGGTGTCATGTATTATGTAAGTTCTTTATCTGAATTATCAAAGCAAATGGGGTTAACAAATCAGGTATTATCCATTTTCTTTCCCCCCCCTTGCCCTGTCATAATAAATTAATCTATCCATTGAGTTATATCTATGGAGTGATGAATAATATATGACAAAGAAATGGATATTTCTTTGTCATATGGAAAACGGCACAGAAATGAAGGTATGTCTTGTTAAATGAGCTTCAATTAAATGCTCTTTTTTTTTATTTTACTGGAAATTTTGCTACCGTTTTGTATCCATGTTCGCTCATATGTGCTGAGGTTTGAATGTTGCTTGTGAAGCTTTGCATGAAAGTGAGAAAACGTCTGAATCCGACAGAAGAATGTGAGGCTGGAAAAGGCTGAGTTTAATGAGCGGCTGGGTCTGAGCTCATCCGAGACTCAAACTTGCAGCTTAGAACTATGAACATACTTGTTTTACAGCAAGCTTTGTTTGACCAACGCCTTCTGATGGGTTAGGAATGATGTACAAAGCCACAGTCGTTACGGTCTGTTAGGTCAAAACGTGTGTGGATTTGAAAGGAAAGCATCCAGGAGACAGTGCATTCTGATTAATCTGGAGGTCTCAATCTCTGTGGTTCGTTTTCCAGCTCGGATCTGGTTTTCGGTTCGCGGATTTTAGTTCTTTTACGGAGCAGTGATGCTACACACAGGTCCTCCTTTTCTTTGTCCTCCATGTCTAACGAGCAGGTGGCCTCTGCTAAGGACTCAGGTGAAGTGGGGCATTCGGCTGCAGGTTCTGTAGGAAAAAAAGATGGAACATTTGATGGTCCACGTCAGTTTTGTCTCATTCGGCCAAGACCTCTTTAGTTCACCGTGACACAGACGGACAAAAAAAACTGTGTTCTTGTCTTTAACAACCACATGCTGAACACCAAAACCCATGAACACGAATGAAAGCGCTACCTCAATAGCATCCATTATGAAATATTTGTAGGTGGTAGTTAGCCGCATTGATCTTGGTTCCACAACATAACATAAAGTGGTAACCAAGCAAAAATATTTCAATCAAGCATCTTTCATTAAGCTTCATTAAGAAAGTTTAACAGAATTGAAATATTTCCCTTTGGTCCTGCTTACTCTTTCAGCTTTGCTCTGATCATATAAATGAACTCAATGATGATGAGAAGAATTGAATGATCCTCATATATGGAGTGTTTAAGCTCCTATTAGAAGTTATTAACGTTAAAAGTTCAGAAAGAAGGAGGAGACACTCATTTTTGCTGCTGTGCAGAATTCACACGAATCCGAAAAACCACATTTTTCTTCAGTTTCTAAATCAGAGTCATAGTTGACTCAGTTTGCCAATCAGTTCATTATCTTTTGGACATTTTAAGCACTTGCTGAGATGTATTCGTTCAGCTTGAGAGGCCAACAAATGCAGTCAGATTTTTCTATGATATCATCGTTGACGCACGACGCTCGAAATCAAATTGTGCAAATTGTTAAAGAAAGAGATCGCTCCCCCTTCCAAATTCCCGCCTCCGTTGGTGCTGGGGTTTAGCATTCCTCCATGCAACATAAGCCTTATTTACCGCTTACGTGGCCTTTGCTACTTTTGTGCGCTTCATCCTTTTCCTCCTCATGAGGGTCACCTGGGGCCTCTTCAACCCTGCGATCAGCAGCAGCAACCTGGGCCGCGACTTGGTGAGCCAGCTTCTCAGTAGCGTCCCCTTGGGAAACCTGCAGGAAACACAGATCAGTTAGGGCCCTGGGATTGGGATCCACACGGCCGAAGAGATTTCATGTTTCCTCTTTTTGCTATCAAAATTTAACCAACTAATATTAACATAATATCAACTTAAGTATTACTTTGTTCCTTTTTTTACACATGAATTTCTTCAGAGCTCCTGAACAATTACACTTCCTTGTTAATTCACATTATATTATATTATATTCAATCAATTCTTTTTAAATCAAGAATGTCTACTGTGTTGACAGTTGAATGTCAACTTTAATAATAAATAAAAATAACTGTGGTTAAGATGTAGGCTGGAGTCTCAATGCTTTCCAACTATTAACGTGCTCATAAGTGTAAGCTGCAGATATTAAAAACAAAGTCTCACAGTTTCATTAAGATGTGAGTCATTTTTTTTCAATCTCTCACTTCTAAGCAAGCTAATAAAATCACAGAACATTACAGAGGGAAAAATTCCACTTCCTTTGTGAACACAACATGCAGGACGACCAATAGATATCTGTTTTTCAGAAATATTTGGTGCTTATTTATCATGAAAAAAATCCTTAAGATGTTAGTTGGTTGGTTGAGAGACTTCCAACAGGTGAGACACATCATTTCAGTCTTTGCCGAATCAGAGGCTTCTCAAAAAATTATTTTCATTTGCCTTTTTTTTTTTTTTTTTTTAAAGGCAGCAACAATGACAAGCAAATGTATTGATTTCGTAACATATTTGATTTTTTTTTAGCTTTCAATTCTATTTCCCATTCACTCTATTTACTGTTTCGTATTGACATCTTCCAAAGGCCAATAGGAAAACAACCAGCCAGCGTCTGGCACAGTTCAGGGTGACAGACCAAAGAAAAACCCACCCAGCAGCCTGCATTTAAAATAACTGCAACATCCAAATCTGTGAACCCCCTCTGACTGATGAAAAGAAACTTTCAGTTTTCATAAACTGAAGTACACCTGGGACAAACAATGAACTTGTGATCCACTTTGGAAGAGACTAAAAACATTCCACTCAGGCCACGATGCATCTGAATGATTCTTCAATCGGCAAAACGGTTCTTTTAGGCCTTGGTCTCTGACTTGCCAGAAAAAAAGAAGAGATTACAGAATGCAAGGCTGATTTTTTCGAGTAAAACTGCAAAAATGATTGAACTGAATTGTAAACAGTCCAAGGCCTCCATCTAACATGGCTGGTTTCATTCACCGGCATGTTCAATTAGCCTTTTCCCACACGTGTTCCTCATTCCCGCTTAAAACGAGTCAAGTCAGATCATCTGTGAGTAGTCGAGCCAAAAAAATATATATATATCCCTGTCATATTCCAAGCTTCAACATTTCTCCTCCACAGAAATGGACGATTGACCACGGTTTGTCTGTCCTGGCTCAGGTTCTGGAGCCCAGAGGAGCGAGCAGGACAGTACCTCTAGGCTCCTTTTCTTGGCCGTGAAAAGCGTCGGCTTTTTCGTGGGGGGCCCGCGCGACCTTTGTGTCTTTAGAAAAAAAAAAAAAGTGGGGCCTGCCTGCCCGCCAAGCACAATGAAAAGCCAAAAAAAAACCTCCCCCGATTGTTTGGACTTTGTGCTGTTCGAGCACGCTCGAACCAGCCAGAGAGAGATCTAGCAACGTTTAGACGCAGAAGGGCCCTGCTGGTTGCCTTTTGTTGTCGCCCGCAGGGCTCGCTGTTAAATGTACCGAGAATAACATTGTTTGTCGAGCTGACCCTGCTCCCCCCTGCTCTCTCCCTCCCTGTGGCAGATCCCTCTTTCATTGTCCCTATCGGAGCGGGCATCCCCTTTGCCTCGTCCTGTCTTCAAATGCTCCTCGGAGATGTCAGAGACAGATGTGAGGAATTCAGATTCAGATGTTTTCTTCTTCAGATCTTCTTAGGTCTGGGCTTCACAGCACATTTGAAACCTTTTTGCCTCTTCCTGACTTGGCCAAACACATCATTTAGTATAGTTTAGTCCCCTTTAGATTGATCCATTTGGAGTTTTTCTTTGCTCGGCCGTTTTGGGTTTGTCTCCTTCTCCGGAAAACTCGAGATGAAAGCAGGCCGAGTGCCTTACCTGCATCTCCT